TTGGAGGCTGAAATTTAGTTTGGTCATCATAATCTGAAAATACACTGTATATGCTAATAGAAGGTCAAAGAAAAATTAATTTTAGTGCAACAATGGCGGTTCTGCAGCTAAAAGAAGTAAATCCAAATTGGATTTATTAAATCCAAAAAAATAGTTGGATTTAGCTAATTTCAATATGGCAATGCTTTGTATTCATAGAATAAAACCAAAATAATTTAAAAATGATTTAATTTGTTTTATTTTGCTATTCACCAATAGATGGCAAATATTTTTTAAAATGTATGAAAATAGGAAAATAAACAAAATTCATGTAACTTAAATATTTCAAACATGATATTTCAGTGCAAATACCAATTTTTGCAACAAATTGTTACAAATTTTATGGAAAATTTAAAAATTTAATATTAAATTTTGAAATAACTCCATCTGTCGGCCGCTGCTGACATTGTGATTTGAAATTTGTTTAGCCTCGATTAAAACCTTTTGCTTTATCCACCTGGCGTACAGAGGGAGAACTAAATTTTGGATTTAATAAATCCAATTGTTTAAAAAATGCTGCTAAAATTAAAATTAATTTAAAATGTATTTAGGAATGGCAGAAAAAGGGTTTATCGATAATATTTGGCATTGTGCTGATTGAGCAGATATTTGTTGAAATTCTAAATAATTAGACCCTACACCACTATAACGGGGAGGGTATTATGCGTTTCATTATGCTGATGTTTGTAACAACCAAAAATATTGGTCCTGCACCCGCCTAAAAGTATACCAATCGGCTAAGCATCACTTCCTGTTTCGATTAAGCTATGTCCGTCTGTCTGTCTGTCTGTCTGTCTGTCTGTCTGTCTGTCCGTCTGTCCGTCTGTCCGTCTATCTGTCTGTCTGTCTGTCTGTCTGTCCGTCTGTCTGTGAGTCCATGTAAACCTTTTGCGCACTCTTCAGGTTGCAATTTTTGAGATAATTTGATGAAATTTGGTCCAAGGACGAACGATATTGAAAATGGTTGAAATCGGTCCATTATTTCACCTTGACAACCGGACCTCCCGAATAGGGCTTTTGACCTCACAATTATGTTAAATGATCTACTATCTCTACAAAAATTTATAAAACTCAGTTTTATATAAGTTAATAATTCTAACGATTTTCTTAAAGATCGGGCCTTGACCCTATCAATCGGACCTTCCGATTTGGTCCTTTTATCTCTTAACTATCTATCCAAAAATAGGCACAATGTGCTAATGTTAGTAACACTCAAAAATATTTGTCCTTAAATATGCAAGTCGGTTCAGAATCATTTACTGATTTTATTAAGCTATGTCCGTCTTTGTGACCGAGTAAACCTTGTATGCATGCTACAACTCGCAATTTTCAATATAATTTGTTAAAATCTTGCCACATACTCTTCTCTGGATCCAATGACGAAGGCTGTTGAAAATTATTGAAATCTGTCTTTTATTTCTCCTTGTCAGCATACAACCATACATGGAACCATATTTGGAACCTATGTAAGATTCAACATAAATGCTTTATTATTGAAAATAAATTACATTTAATATTCGCATTTGGTGTAGGGTATCAAATGGTCGGCCACGCCCGACTCTAGTTTCTTACTTTTTTGTTCTAAAAATTACTAATTTTAAAATCAATTTTTATTTTCAAATTAAATTCGCTTTCAATTAAAACCCTTGATTATTTAGCACTTACGTTTTCCTACTCACCCTCAATATAAACCAAAAATATTCATTTAATACAATTTAATTTAATTTCACTTTGCTAAACTCAACTATTTTGCAAATAAAAATCTTGAGACATTATCTCTTGAAACTTTAAATATTTGGAAAATTTACATTAAAAACTAAAAAAATTAGGTCAAAATAAAATGAACACCACAAAGAGTCTAAATTTTGTAGGAAATTAACTGATTTAAACTTAAATGAACTTCTGGTTAGCAGAAAAAGAAAGAACATTTCAACGGATGTTAGCAAACTAGAAGCACAACACAAACAAAATGTTAAACTTTGAAAGTAAGTTTAAGTTGCAAGAAGCAAAAACTTAAAGAAGTTTAAAGTTTTAGTGAACAGTTTTAGACAATTACTTTAAACATATTAATATTTGTTGTATGTATGTATGTCATGAAATTGTTTATATCTATGTGCCCTTGAAATGTTAACAAATGCGTCTATAGTAATTTATCTTTTTATTTCTTTACCTCTTGGCAACCAGCCTCTTTAATAGTTCTTGTCTTTAGCTACAATTGTATTTCTACCAATTACTTATTTAACGACCGACTATTGTCCAGAAGTAAACATTCGTCAGTTATAAAAATAAACATAATAAATTTTGGAAATAAAGAACCTTTTTCTTTATTTTATGTGTCTGGTCATAAAAATAAATAAATATTACATACATATTTATCTGAAGATTTAGATAATTGAGAATAATTTGTAAACTATCGACTCGGGTAGATGGGGGCAAATAAAAATAGACCAATATATAAGATATTCCTATTATAGAGTACAGTTTAGACCATTATCTAGAGAATACACTAATGTATAGTCTAGGTTATAGATTAGCTATTAGCATACTCTAGAATATAGAACAGTCTAGACTTAACAAACTGGGCCATTGATCAGTCTATAATTTATACCATAGACTAGCTTCAACCTTTAGGATACTTTCAACATTCTCGATTAGACTATAGTCTGGTTTACAGAACTGCCTATAGTCTCAATACTATATAAATCAATAGATCACTCTATAGTCTACATTTTATAGGTAGTGCGCTCTACAGATCAGTCTATAATATAGTCAATAGTTTAGACTATTGTTTGAACAGTCTGGGCTATAGATTAGTCTGAAGTTTCGAAATACAGAGCAGTGTTGATTGAAGAATATGCTATGGATCAGTCCACAGTTTAGGCTATAGCCTAGATCACAGTATAGCCTAGACTATAAATCAGAGTACAGTCTAGATTATAGATCATACTGTAGTCTTGACTGAAGATCACTGAATAGTTTACTCTGCAGATTAATCTTATTATAAATCAGTCTATAGTCTAGACTATGCAACAGTTTATAATCTTAACTATAGATCAGAGTCTATAGTCTAAACTATAGAACAGTCTATAGTCAGACTGTATATCAGTCTTTAGTTTAGACTATAGATCAGTCTGTGGTCTAGACTATAGATAAGTCTATAGTCTAGACTACAGATAAGTCTAAAGTCTTGACTATAGATAAGTCTATAGTCTAGACTATAGATAAGTCTATAGTTTAGACTATGGATAAGTCTATAGTCTAGACTATGGATAAGTCTATAGTCTAGACTATGGATAAGTCTATAGTTTAGACTATAGATAAGTCTATAGTTTAGACTATGGATCATTATATAATCTAGATCATTCTATAGTCTAGACTATGGCTTAGACTTTAGATAAGTCTATAGTATAGGTCAGATATCAGTATATAGCCTAGACCATAGTTATGTCTATAGTCTGGATTAAGGATCATTCTAAATTCTAAGCTATAGATATGGGCTACAGTTCATATAGATAGTCTAAACTATAGATCAGTCTATACTCTAAGCTATAGATCAGTCTATAGTCTAAACTGTATGTCGATCAGACTTTAGTCTAGACTACAGATCAGTCTGTAGACTATACAATAGATAAGTCAATAGTATACACCACAGATCAGTCTATAACCTAAATTACAGATCAGTCTAGACTATAGATCAATCTGTATTCTTAACTATAAATCAATCTATAGTCTAGACTATAGAGTGTATAGTATATCAGTCTATTCTTTAGACTATAGATCAGTCTATAATTTAGACTATATATCAGCTTATCGAGTATAGATCAGTCTCTCGACTGGAAAATGACGTACTTAAGTAAGACTATTATGATTTATGTATATCGGTCCAACTGATCAGTCTATACGTTGCAGTATAAATCAGTCTGTAGGTTATATACTCAACATAGCCTACAGTACAATCCAGTCTGTAGTTTAGATGGTAGATCAGTCTATTGATAGGACTATTCTGTATTATAAAGATTTTAAGTAAGTCAGTTGACCTCAGACAGTAAAAGTGTGGATCATTGAAAACTCGATATCCTGGACTGTCAGCCAATAGTCCGAAGAATAGGAATAAAATCCTTGTGGTAAACATACTGAAACATTTTATTAAATTGGGCTATTAAACGATTTTGATACCTTAAAGGTATCAAAATTTTAACTCCCTGCAAAAGAGGTATATGGTAACAATGCCCAGGAAGTTATATAGAAAATCACTCCTGCTCTTCTAATTGCAATGATACTTTTTCAATTGTTACAGTATAGGGCGTAAATCGATTTCTTAAAATCATTCCTTTTTATGGTAAATATATTTATTATTTTTTTAATTCTTTATCTCAATTTAACAAATATTTCATATTTTATAATATGTATTAATTACTACAACTTTAACAGCTCAATTCCCCTGACGCCAAAAATTCCATTTAAGAATTTTTTCCCATGGAGCGTATGATGAATATTTAAGGTCATAGTTACAGAAATTCCTTATACGCCACAGTACACAATAAAAGTTTTTAATCAAGTTTTTCGCTTTTCGTAACTAATTACAAGTAATGTAATAAAAAAAATTTAATTATTGTTATTAATTGGTAATTTTCATACAAAAATAAAAAAAAAAACTTTCTTATATTTTCATAAAAATTCTTCATATTTTGCGTAGTAAAGATGTTGTTTAAAAAGTTTTCTCTTTTAATTTTTGTTACAGCACCATTTTAATTTATGCAATTTATGTTGTTTTTGTTTTATTTTACAACAACAGTAAAAATGAAACAATATAATTTATGTACATTTTACATACATATATAATATAAACATAATAATAAAAAATATGAGAAAAAAAACCAAGTAAATTGTTTTAATAATAGCAACAAAAATGAGAGAAAAAAAAAAAATAATAATAATGAAAAGAATGCAAGAAAACTTACCCAATATAGAAAGGAAAAGCCATAAGAAGAAATGCCATTTTAAAGATGAACAAAAGTTCCTGTTGTTAAACGAAGATGATGAGAATGGTGACGTTGTTATTGTAGTTGCTGTAGGAGTTATAGATGTTGCAGGAGCAGCGTAGAAATTGGATAAAGTTTTGGTTTTAATTTTGTACTGTTTTTGTTGTTGATGCTGTTGCAAAGACCACCACCAATAACAGCGTTTGTATACGTAGCGTATGCAACAACATATAGTTGTTGTAATGAAAGTAATAATACTGTTTGGACTGTTACAACTAAAATAAAATAAACTTAAACTTTGGCTACAACTAGGGCTAACACTAAAACTACTACTACAACTATTGTTGCAGTTGCTACTTCTACTATCTGTGTCAGTATCTTTTTTGCTTTTTTGCAAACATTTATTGCTGTTGGTTTTTCTATTGCTGTTGTTATTCATGTTGCAAATAGTATTAGTAAAGTTACAATGGCTTCTTGTTTTGAGTTTTGCTGCTTTTTGGCGTTGTCTAGTGTTATTTTCATTTATTATTGTTGTTGTTGCTGCTATTGCACTTGCTGGTACTTTTGCTGGTAGTTGGTAAAAGCCTCTTTTAACTTTCTTATTGTTGGCCATTTCTTATGATTTTCTTCTGGCTTATTTCTTTTTCAATTGTGTATTGTTGTTTTTTTGTTTTCATAAAATTTTGTTGAAATAGTTGTTAGTTTTGTTATTAATATCGCTCAACCGCATTTAAAATGAAATAGCAGAAAAGAAAACAATATTTTTCGAAATGTAGTTTTTTATGTTTTTTTGTTACTCTTTCCTTTCTTTAATACTTTTCACCAAAGTAATTTGTGCTGTTGAAGAAAAATTAAAAAAAAAGAAAACATTATTAATTTCTTTAACCCTCTTTTTTCTTACTTTATAATAAAAATAAATTGTTTAATCAAATAAAAGCATAAAATGTCCTATTGAATGTTATTAAATTAAGTACATAAGTACTTCTAAGCTGAAAGCAGCATGTCATATACGGTAATATCGGTATAAATATTTTCTATGTAAACCTAAATTTGTATAAAATTTTATAATTAAAATTAATTATAATTAAGTCCATTTAAGCTTATTTTTTAAAAAAAAATCGTCATTATTTATTTCATTTAATTCTATTAATTTAAGACTGCATTCATCAGTGCAAGCTAAATACTCTGGACTAAGGATAAGTCTCACCTATAGATCAGTCTAAAGTCTAAACAATAGATCAATTTAATATAAGTATATAGTCTGGAATATAGAGCACTCTAGATTTCAGACTACATATATTCCAGTTCACAATCTAGACTATTTATCAGTCTACAGTTAATGCTATATTCGAGATAAGTTAATGCTATATTCGAGATATTCTAGAATATAGACTAAAGATGAGTCTATTATCCAGATTATAGATTAGTCTGTAGTCCAGAATATATATCAGTCCATAGTCCAGACTATAGATCAGTCTACAGTCCAGACTATAGATCAGTCTACAGTCCAGACTATAGATCAGTCTATAGTCCAGACTTTAGATAAGTCTTTAGACCAGACTATAGATCAGTCTATAGTCCAGATTATAGACCAGCCCTTAGTCTAGACTGTAGACTAAAAATCAGTATATAGTGTAGAATGTAAATTAGTCAACATTCCAACTATAGAACAGTCTACAGTCTAGACTATAGATCAGTCTATAGTCCAGACTATAGATCAGTCTATAGTCCAGACTATAGATCAGTCTATAGTCCAGACTATAGATCAATCTGTAGTCCAGACTATAGATCAGTGTATAGTCCAGACAATAGACCGGTCTATAGTCCAGACTATAGATCAGTCTATAGTCCAGACTTTAGATCAGTCTGTAGTCCAGACTATAGATCAGTTTATAGTCCAGACTATTGACCAATCTATAGTCCAGACTATAGATCAGTCTATAGTCCAGACTATAGATCAGTCTATAGTCCAGTCTATAGATCAGTCTATAGTCCAGACTATAGATCAGACTATAGTCCAGACTATAGATCAGTCTATAGTCCAGACTATAGATCAGTCTATAGTCCAGACTATAGATCAGTCTATAGTCCAGACTATAGATCAGTCTATAGTCCAGACTTTAGATCAGTTTATAGTGCAGATTATAAATCAGTTCATAGTGCAGACTATAGATCAGTTTATAGTCCAGTCTATACATCAGTCTATAGTCCAGACTATAGATCAGTCCATAGTCCAAACTATGGATCAGTCTATTAATTAGTCTATTCCAGACTATTGATTAGTCTATATTCCAGACTATAGATCAGTTTATAGTACATACTATAGATCTGTCTATAGTCCTGACTATAGATCAGTCTATAGTCCTGATTATAGATCAGTCTATAGTCCAGACTATAGATTAGTCTATATTCTACACTATAGATCAGTCTACAGTACATATATAGATCAGTGTGTAGTTCAGACTATATATTAGTATATAGTCCAGAGTATAGATAGTTCTATAGGCCAGAATATAGATAGATCTATAGTCCAGAGTATAGATAAATCTTTAGTAGATACTATAGATCTATCTGTTTATTCCGTTTTTTTTTTTTTTTTTTCTTGTAAGTTTTTTACTTGTTTATGTTACGAGTAAACACTAGTATGTACAGTGTACACATACCAGACATTTTTTATATTGTAGGGTCTGCAACTTTTATGCTGTTAGAGGAGATTTTTTATTTTTTAAAACTGTCTGTTGTTGTAGATTTTTCTTTTTTTTAACAATTTAACGCTTTAGTTTAGTTTTGTAGGGATTTGTCTTTCAATTTGTTCTTATTACAGGATTTTGTAATTTTTTTTCCTGCTGTTGCTTTTTTCACAGCACTGGCTAGAGTTTTTGTTATTTTTTTTTTATAACCACTGACAGTTTATGGGTAGTTTAAGAGTTTGCTGTCTATGTCTTTGATTTTTTTCAGTTATAGACAGATATGTTTTACCACAAATTGCCAAGTCACTTTTACTTCGGTTTTTCTCAAATCTATAGACTATTTAAACATTTTGCAGAAATAAAACCTTCTTAAAATATACTAAAAATAGATTCTTTGCAAGAGAAACATTAGCATTTTTTTATAGTTTCGTTATTGTTTACTTGACTGTCAGCTGTTTAAATCTAAACACAATACGGTAAAATGATTTGTAACAGGCGTTTCCGTTTGTTGCTGGGTTGTGTTTATTTGTTTGCTTACAGTTTGTTCATGGCCAAGTATTTTGTTGTTTTATTTTTTAACCGCCCGCCCTGTTATTTGATTGAAGTTTACGTCTTTGTACAATTAATATTAAAAAAAAAAAACAAAAACAAACAACAGTAAAATGTTTTTATATTGTACATTACAGTGTCCTTGCAAAAAGCAGTCAAGTCAAAACCATAAAACAAAATATATAAAAATTTAACTGTTAAAACAAAAAAATATGTATAGAGTGTAAAAAACTTACTAATACATTGAAACAGTTGTCCTTCTTGTAGTTGACGTTACTTATTTTCTGGTTTCCGGTTTATTTTATTTGTTTCGTTTTTTTTATACCCTCCACCACCATCAGTGGTGATAGAGGGTATATATAACTTTGTCATTCCGTGTGTAACACCAAGAAATATTCATCTGAGACCCAACAAAGTATATATATTCTGGGTCCTTATCAAATTCTGAGTCGATTTAGCTATGTCCGTCTGTCCGTCTGTCCGTCTGTCCGTCTGTCTGTGTAAAACACGCTCACGATAAAACGAAGCAATAGAGCTTAACCAAATTCACCCAAAATGTTCTCCATTTTCCTAAGTTGTTTGGTATTGCAAATGGGCAAAATCGGTTCACACCGGAAAAAGTTATGAATCAAAATTTAAAACAACCTCGGAAAAAAATAAGCATTTTTTACACATTCTGATGTAGTTTTCTCGAAAACTATGCAAGATAATTCCATGGAAATCACCATACATTCGTTTCTGCACAAGATCTTGATCCCTGCTGAAAATGGCCAGAATCGGTCCACAATTTCATATACCTCCCATACAAAAGTACATATTCCCGGAAAATGGGTCTTTTGTTAATAACTTCCGCCACAATGTCGATATCTTCACAAAATTTTACAAATTAAAATCTTATGTAAATAGAATTCATTCAGAGAAAAAATTTTCTGGATCGGTCCATAATTGGACATAGCTCCCATACAAGGTCCCCTCCCGAAAATCACTTAAACGCGCATAACTCATAACTAAATTAAGATATCCAAATACAATTTGGTATAAGTATTGCCCATATGCATAGAAATATTACTGTGAAATTTTTTTCCGATCGGTCCATAATTGGTCATAGCTCCCATACAAGGTCCCCTCCCGAAAATCACTTAAACGCGCATAACTCATTACTAAATTAAGATATCCAAATAAAACTTGGTACAAGTATTGCCCATATGCATAGAAATATTACTGTGAAATTTTTTTCGGATCGGTCCATAATTGGTCATAGCTCCCATACAAGGTCCCCTCCCGAAAATCACTTAAACGCGCATAACTCACTACTAAATTAAGATATCCATATAAAATTTGGTACAAGTATTGCCCATATGCATAGAAATATTACTGTGAAATTTTTTTCCGATAGGTCCATAATTGGACATAACTCCCATACAAGGTCCCCTCCCGAAAATCACTTAAACGCGCATAACTAATTACTAAATTAAGATATCCAAATAAAATTTGGTATAAGTATTGCCCATATGCACAGAAATATTACTGTGAAATTTTTTTCCGATCGGTCCATAATTGGTCATAGGTCCCATACAAGGTCCCCTCCCGAAAATCACTTAAACGCGCATAACTCATTACTTAATTAAGATATCCATATAAAATTTGGTACGAGTATTGCCCATATGCATAGAAATATTACTGTGAAATTTTTTTCTGATCGGTCCATAATTGGACATAGCTCCCATACAAGGTCCCCTCCCGAAAATCACTTAAACGCGCATAACTCATAACTAAATTAAGATATCCAAATACAATTTGGTATAAGTATTGCCCATATGCATAGAAATATTACTGTGAAATTTTTTTCCGATCGGTCCATAATTGGTCATAGCTCCCATACAAGGTCCCCTCCCGAAAATCACTTAAACGCGCATAACTCATTACTAAATTAAGATATCCAAATAAAACTTGGTACAAGTATTGCCCATATGCATAGAAATATTACTGTGAAATTTTTTTCGGATCGGTCCATAATTGGTCATAGCTCCCATACAAGGTCCCCTCCCGAAAATCACTTAAACGCGCATAACTCACTACTAAATTAAGATATCCATATAAAATTTGGTACAAGTATTGCCCATATGCATAGAAATATTACTGTGAAATTTTTTTCCGATAGGTCCATAATTGGACATAACTCCCATACAAGGTCCCCTCCCGAAAATCACTTAAACGCGCATAACTAATTACTAAATTAAGATATCCAAATAACATTTGGTATAAGTATTGCCCATATGCACAGAAATATTACTGTGAAATTTTTTTCCGATCGGTCCATAATTGGTCATAGGTCCTATACAAGGTCCCCTCCCGAAAATCACTTAAACGCGCATAACTCATTACTTAATTAAGATATCCATATAAAATTTGGTACGAGTATTGCCCATATGCATAGAAATATTACTGTGAAATTTTTTTCTGATCGGTCCATAATTGATCATAGCTCCCATACAAGGTCCCCTCCCGAAAATCACTTAAACGCGCATAACTCATTACTAAATTAAGATATCCAAATAAAATTTGGTATAAGTATTGCCCATATGCATAGAAATATTA